TGTAATTCTTGTCTCAGAGTTCCAATTAACCCAGTTTTGTCTGATAATGAAGTAAAATTTAATAATTTGTCAATTACTTTAGGGTCATCTTCGGCAAACAATGAAACTGAAAGAAATGGTCCTAAATATGATGTATAAGATAGCTCACGGCCACCACTTGGAGTTATTTGTATTGGCATAAATTGTTTCTAAAAATATAAATATATATTTTAAAAAAAAATAAAATAACAACTTTTAACTCTGACTTACTATTTTAACTATTAAAGTACATATAGGTAAAGTATTTTTGGATGCAAACAAAGGTAGCGAAGTAAGTTCATTAAGCACTTCAATGGGTTTACGATGTGTAGAGCCAACAAAACTAGCAGTTTGCATCAAACGATGTAGATGTTGTAATATTGGAATAAAAATCTAAAAAAAAAGAAGTATGATCTTTAAGTTCATAAGATTAACATAAATACTGTTAACTTACTTTTTCCATTAAATCTTGATTCATAGCTGCACGATTCAATATTTCATTCATAAAACCTCTAGGTACTTTACCCCTCAACAAATATTGTGTAAGAGGCGAATGCATAGATGTCAAACATCGAACCCACTCTCTATCATCCATTATCCATTCTTGAGTAAGCAACATAACACAATGATTTACACACTGTGAACGTAAGTTGGTCAATATTGATGAAACTTTAGGAGTACTACTCCTCTATAAAAGATAAAAGTAGTTAATAAATTAATACAAATAATGAGTGAAAAAATATTTTTACTTTAGGATATTGACGTTTTTCTTCTTCAATACGATCATAGCAATCAAACAAATATTTTAATCCTGCAGCTGTGTGTGAATTTTCATAATAGTCTACGACAAATTTATCAAGTTTATCATTTATCTGAGAAAGCTTAGACTTTTTTCCAACTAAGCTAAGAGCTTCTTGAATAGCCATGCTTATAATATTCTAAAATATATAAATAAAAATCAACATAATATAAATTATAAGAACTAATCTCTTAATAAGCCAATAAAAGACATATTCATAATATTTTATTTTTAATCTTAAATAATTTTCATTAATTTAATTTAATTTATAGAATAGCTACCTTCATTATGGGAACCAGGAATTTAATAGAAGTTTTTATATTTTAATAAATTTTTTAAATTGTATTTAACATGCATTACTATTATAAGGCATTTACCTTACATCACTCAAATTTTGTCCTACCACACTAAAAAAATGTAAGTACACTAATTGTTTTCTCGATGTAATTAAATTATATTTGATTTCTTTAATATCATAAAATAATTTACAATTATATAAACTAAGTAATGCAATTTTTAAAAATATCCAAAACATTATTATTTCAAAATTAAAAAGTTAAACTCTTATTTAACTATCAGATGGATAAAGCAGTGGCAATATTGGCAATTTAAGGAAACTATTCAATTATTATAAAAACAATCATTGAAGTTAATAAAGTAGCCATTTACCTGAAGTTAAAGTCAAAGGAATTATTTAGCAATGACAGAATGCATCCATTCTTCAGTTAATACTGAAATTTAGTAAAATACTTCAAAATCCTTCAATTAATTTATTGGTTGTATTTAATTAAGTTAAAAATCTTCATACATTAGTACAACAGGTAAGTTGTAGTTACATTTTTATGATGAAACTTACCCAACAGTTTTAAAAACATATTTCTCTGTCTCAAATAAGAGTAACTTACAGTGGCAGGTTACTGTGAATGGCAACAAAAATGTTCATACTTAACGTGTGAACATATGAGATGACACATAGTTGAAAACATTACTTAATTATTAGAATAACAGCCTAGATCGCATTTTTCTAAGATTAACACATTAAAGAGATTTTACTCATTATAGTGTGCAGTGTTGACGATTGTCGCATACGACAATACTGACAACAAATGATTTGTAAAGGAAGCATGGTTCTAACCGAATTTTTAACCTTGATAATCACTTGAGGTTGCTCTTAATTAAGAGTATACACTTTAAAGCAACAATTCTCAAACTAAGGTTCACCAACAATTTTATTAAGGTTACCAATACAAAATAATAATATACATCATTTAAAGGATTACCAAAAATATAGGTGACATGATAGATGGTTATAGCTACAAAAGAGTTAAGAACTGCTGGTTTACACAACAATATTAATGAACCATCTGATAAAGTAATGAAAAAAAAGCAAAATCTTTTGATTATTAAATACATTTTCTGATTATTTAATTGTTTCTTCTTATTATTATTTTATTGAATTATTAGTAAAATTTTAACAAATAGAACAATACATATTTTTAATACATCAATTTGAATTTGATAACTTATTTTTTCTTTTGGAAATGACTAATACCTAATCTGATAAAATTATCAAATTTTGTCTACAAAAATAAATAATGTAATTTTCTAGTACAATGTTCAATACTAAATACATAAACACAATGTGAAAATGCACATTTCACAAAATTTTATTTTTGGACCTTTTCATTTATACATATTGTTATAATTTAATATCAATTAATGATTAGATAAATAATACTTACTGGTATTTCAAAAGACTCATAATTCTGCTTTTTTTCATTTTCCATATAAGCGGCTAATTCTGGCAAAAATAAACCTTTACTTTCATCACTCCAAGATACATCCAACACTTTTAAAACCACAACAAAGGTTATATCTTCTTTGGGAATATTCTAAAATATGAATAAACAATTAAAAGAAATTATAAAAACATATTTTATTTTTAAAAGATTACCACTGGTAATTCCAATGGTCTTTTCCTTGTGATGCTTTCTTGAAAATTAGATTCCTTTTCATCAACTTCCATATTTTCAAATCCTGAATCCTCTTCTGGAGCAATAATTGTTGATGGTCCAGGGGTTTTAATTGGAGAAACGACATTGTTTTTGATCTCTACATTAGTACCACTTTTTTCAACTTCCATGGGTAAATCTTTTAACTCAGTTTTAATTGTCTGTGTTGCAAACGTTATTTTTGTGGGCACTGCAATAAGTAAAACAAAATATAGTATTTTAGAATAATTTATATGAACAGTGTTCAAATAATTGATGTTACATTGTGGAATCTGTTGTGGAATAACATCAGATACTGTTGGTGTTGGAACTCTTGTTGTATTTACAGCAGCTAAACGTGCTAAGCGACGTCTCCTTATCTATAACAAAAAATAATACTGATCTTGAACATACATGCGGAAACATACATAAGGAAACAACTTCACTTCACCACAATTAATCAACTAATGAATACAAATTTTTTCAACCTTACATTGTTAAAAAAAAGAAATTGAAAAGACAAAAGACACTTTATAATATTACATACCATAATGAAAAATAAATACGTAATATTACAAATCAATAATAATATATTTCAGTTGTTTCATAACAAAACATAACTAGCCTATAATACAGATTACCAACAATCCAATTTACTAACAAAGAGTTATATCTAAATTGTTAAACTTTCCATAAAAATAATTATTTAATTATATGTAATTTTCTTCTTGCGACTATGATCTGATGTAATAATTAATATGATCATTGATTGGTACCATAAGTCCATAAATAATGATTTTTATAATACTTATTTTATTATTGTAGAATAAGGGTATTATAAACATTTATGGAGTATTAAACCACGGGAGCCTTTGTGCTCTTAATCAGAACTTTTACTTAAATATGTATAATTTTTTTAATGTAAATAAAAAGTAATCACCTACTTTAAATTTATTATGACAAGATAAAACTTTAAAATTGTCTAATACAATTATATTTATTTGACAGATTTTATCTAATATTGCTTATCAAAATTTATAATTTATTTTTCAAATAATATATGAAATTTATATTTGACGATAATTTATAATAAGCACTTCTAAAATAATCAGTATTGAAAATAACACAATTTTTTAATAACTCATTTGAATATAATTTATTCAAATAATGCAGTAATACACTTTTAAGTATAAATTTTATTTAATATCTACATTGTTAATTAATTTATCATAATATTTCTAATACATTCATAAAATGTCGAAACATTAGTAATAATAAATTGCATTAATCTTCATAAGGATTTTTGTTAATACATTTACATAAAATAATTTATATCTATAAGTAAATTTAATCATTAGCATTCAACATTCTATAAATACTATATTATTATACTATTTATTTTAATGAATTAAATTACATGGATGCAAAATAGGCCATGATTAAGACCAAAGAGTAAACTTATGATGGACAGACATTAAGCAGAAATTGCAATAAAGTATTCAACAATTGTTTATAAAATAATATCTAGATTGTGCAAATTTGTCATTAAAAAATGTTTTATATTCAACATCAAATTCGAGTATACACTGCTTAACTAATCATTTTGTGTGCCCTGTATAAGTACTTATTACTGTTGGTTAAGACACAAATAATTTTAAGCTTTAAGCTGTATCAAATGTTTCTTACCTCTTCGGGAGTTAAGCCACTCATAACTATATATTTATTGACTTTCTATAGTTTAATGTTTTGTCTTTATGTCGATGATGAATAACAAAGCACCAACAATGATTAATAATGATTGGGAACAACGTGTAAGGTCGGACGTGTCTGCAGTACAAAGCGACCGGATAGGGTAGATCGATGTTTTGTGGGCAAACTGCTAACAGCAATATTGTGTAGTCATATAGGTTTTAAAAAAATAAACGAAATATACAAAACATCAAAGAAAAATACTAATCATCGCGAAGAGTCTCTCACTAAAACAGATGTTTTACAAGCGCTGTGTGTCTGAGAAAATGGGAACTATGGAGAAGGGAGTCGAATAGTCGGAGCGGAGTGCGATGAGGTCACTGACTCAATCTGCGAAGTATGAACACAAGTCATCAATAAATGAGGCATTTCGTTAGCCGTCACTACGTTCATCCCTGTCAGCCACTGTTATCGTTTATCGGCTTATCGCTTATCATCACTAGTGTTTTGCACAGCAGAATATATTTTCATGATATAATCGTGCTATTACAACTATTTAATATTAAATCTTATTTCTTTAAGGATTTTGTATTTTTGTCCATAAAACGTACCAGCATTCTTTGTACTCTTGATGCCTAAACCGAATTACTAACTTGCAGTATTATTTGCAGTAATTCTGTTTACTTGTGTTAATGGTTGTCGATTCCGTGTCGGGGATCAATTGTCATTTTTTGTAATTATTAAAACTAAATTAAATATGTTACTGAATATTAGCAAGTTGACGTACAAAATTAAACCATTAATGAATTATGTGAGTATGCAACTACAAAAAAAAATGTTATGATTTATCCAGTAGTAATTATTAATTATTGCTATTTTCTATTATCAATGAATTAAGTCATATTTTTGTATGAACCGTTTTTTAAATCTATTATTTTTGTATAAAGTATTTTAGTTTTGAATATTAAATACCATGTGGATTAGTAATTATATGAAAATTTTAAACAACACAAAAAAAATAAAAAATATTCCTCAACCATTTAAAATAATAATTTTCATATTATCAAGAAGTAGTTATTTAACAAAAGCTGTTATACATTTTAAAAAAATCATACAGTATTAAATATTAATATTTTTATTTAATTTTGAAAATTAAATATTTGCACACTATCTAAATACAAGGCTAAAAGGCATATCTTGCTATCTTACTCATCTTGTTTCAAACTAATGTTATATATTATTAATTATTTTTATTTGAAATTAGTTATATTTTTAATTAACATGTTTTGTTTTTTTTTTGCTTGAATCCTCTTACATATTTTACCTTGTATAATTAATTTATCAGTAATTCAAACTTCTTTTTATTTAAAAAAAAAAAAAATTGAATTGTATGTATATTGTATTAATTATTTCCAATAAATCTGTAAGTACCTCAATTAATAATTATGGCTATTTCACTTTGCTACAAATATTTACAACCCAGACATTTTTATGTTATTTAAATTATCAAAACTAATTATCATTATTTTAAACAAATAAAAATGTAATTTTTGTTACATTGACCAATGTACTGTAATCACATAAAACATATAAATTATTTTTACTAATATAAAAAATTGTTTATGTAGAAAAATACATTTATATAGTATTATAAAAACTACTTATCTTCACTAACCTTGTTCCAAACATAATCTTTCATGAATGGAAAAAAAACATATAAATCTTAATAGTTATTGATAGTTTTATTTATTAATTTTAAATATTTTTCCAGAGAGTTTATTCTAAGAAAATAGATGAAATACTACCAAAAAACTTATTAGAAGACATCTATACAGCAGCACAACAAAAGCAATTAGGTGTAATTTATGATAAAAGACCATTTAAAATTACACTAGAGAAAGACAAAAAGTATAATTGGTGTTCTTGCGGTATGAGTCGACAACAGGTATGCACGGATTTATACATAAACTTAATGCATTGTTAACTTAAATTAAAATAACACACTGTAATTCTATTATTATTATTATTAACAAAAAATATTAATATAAGTATTTATTTAATTTCAGCCATTTTGTGATGGTACTCATAAAAATCAAAAATTTCGAATAACAATGAAACCAGTTCGAGTTCAAGTAGCAGAAACCAAAGAATATTGGTTATGCAATTGTAAACAAACATCTCATCGACCATTTTGTGATGGCACACATAGACAACAACATATACAAGATGCAATTAAGAAATATTGATTACTAGTATTTTTTGTATATTTTACGAGATATAGTTTTTTTTGTTTAGGCACATGTTATTTTCAAGTGGAAAAAATAGTTTTTCAAAGAATTTTTTTAAAAAATTGTGCTATTCTAAAACTTATTTGTTTGTTTTTTTTTTTAATGTATTTTTATCTTAACTCTTAAGGTAACTATAAAATAATAGTGATTTAACTTTTGGCCACACAATAAGTTATAATAATATAAAAACAAAATTAGGTATAGCAATTAATTAAACTCTAAAAAATATGTAAAAAATAAAGTACGTTCATTTCAAACCAGTAGTAATATATAGTGTATAAAGCAAGCGTTGCTGTATACAAAACTAGCGTTAAATAATAATACATAGCACACTATATATTGTTTGTTTTCAAAATGGAAGAATTTTAAATTATAATTTATTCAATGGCTTTTGATAAAAACTCAATAAAACGTTTTCCATATTGTTCTGGATCGCATGTTGATATGCCATCCACATTTGATCCGTGCTTCAATGTTTTAGCTGCTTTGGCTGCCTGCTTTTTAACACCATAATGTGTAAGTACATCAATCAATGCGATGAAATAAATTTCTCGAACTGGTGCACCTATTTTATTAAATTAAATAATGATTATATTTACAATAGGAAACAGTTACACTAACAAAAAAATTATCACTTATAAAATTACCTTCACTGCTAGGTATGGCATATATATCGAGTTCAGGTATTATAGCTGCTGCATCATACTGGCAGAGGCTTGTATCACGAGCTAATAAACTATGTGGTGAATCTGGAGGAGTATTAGCCCAAGTCACTGTATTTCCAGCACCCTCACTGTCTTCAGCATCTTCATCTTCTTCTTCTGCGTTAACATCTCCAGTTCCACTAGCAATTGCCTCTTCCCTTTCACGCTCTGCACGAGTGCAATCGTGTATGCCTAATAACAGGCTATAGTCCATCAAATGTAAACCCGTCAAAAACTAGAATGCAAAATTCATATATTTTACGAAAATGGAAATTTAAAATATTAATTTCACACTCACGTCAACATCTGCTCCTAACGTTTCTAACAACTTATCTTTTGCTTCATCTCCAATATATATTTTTGTACGTTCTTTGACAAAATCATTGTCTTTAAATGTTGGTAAGTCTTTTTCCTTCTCCTTATCTGAAGCTTCTCTATCTACTGTGGAACCTTTGAGATCAAATTTTCTAAAAATAAAAAAATAAATAAATAAGAAATGATGCAAAAGCAGAATAATAATGTATTATTATTAATATTTACTATAGAAAAAAAAAAATGTAATTATCAATGAATGACTAAGTCAAAAGATTATTTGATTAAAACTAATAAAGAAAGTAATTATTTCTAAAAATTACATATCATGATAAATGAATATAATTGGTTATTACTAGGGCTCGGATGATTATGAAATTGCATAATTTTTTATATTTATCCAATTTAATGCTAACTTGGATACAAATTTAATTCATGTTATACTGAATCAAATAATACTATTTTTATTTTGTATATTTTATGATTTTGTATTATAATTGCATATTTTAAAATTTTAAAAATAAAAAAGTCAGTACATTTAAAAAAAAAAAAATAAATAATTTTATTAACGAACTATACAATTAATTTCACAATTTGTATGTATAAATTTTATAGGTGGTAACTATAATCTAAAATTTACCAAGTATTGACATAAAATATAAATATTTATTATCGACTTAACGTTTTGTTCGGAATTACAGTACTTTATTGGACAAGGTCTAAGACAGGGGTCGGCAATTAAATTCTATGGAAATCTAGAAAATCAAAAAAAAAAATTTTGAGGGCCAGTATAAACTAAAAACTTAAATATTAGTTAATAATTGTTGTGTTATCTCAACTATGATTGTAAATAGCAATAAATGATAAACACCATCATAATCTCTAAATACATCACAAAATAGATAAAATATATATTATATGTGGAAAACCAGCATTATTAAAAAAAAAATATTTTTTGTGATTAATTATTTTTCCTTTGGGGGCCAGATTTGGCCTACGGGCCACCTATTGCCAACCACTAGTCTAAGATAACATCAATTGATGAAGAACGAAGCTTTTTACATTACAAAAATTTACTTAGCAATAATAGATGCAGTTATAAATTTTAACAAATTAAAAAAACCTTAGTAGCACAGTATAAGGCTAATAATGGTAATATCTAATTTATAAATAATAATGTAAATTAAAGTAAACAAAACGTTAGGTAAATTTAAAAAATATATTTAAAATTATATTAAAATAAATAATCAAATTTTTTGTGCATATTTTGGCATTTTTATTGGTTAAAAATGCATATTTTATAATTTTTAGCACATATTTTGATTGCATATTTCGTAATTTTTTAGTGCATAAATGCATGCATATTACAGTAGTTTTAAGTACACAAACATCCGAGCCCTAGTTATTACAAATTATAACCAATATTTTTACAGCTTATAAACATTCTTCTCATCATTGGAACTCATGAAAAATAAGATAAAAACATGTACACTAAAAGATTTAGAAGAATTTAATATTCTAGCCTTTCTGATTAGAAAGTACACAATTAAAAACTAGGTATAATATGTAATATCTAAATTATATAATTCTAGAACTTAAAATAATACTTAAGATATACCAATGTTATCAAATTTAAAAAAAATGCAACTAATTAATAGGCTATCTCCCCATATGCGTTCTACTACAAATAGAAATGATAGAATCTTTATGGGATCATTAGTATGATTAAATTATTTCATATTTTTATAATTATTAAGTAATTAAAATAAAATAAATTCCATTTTTTTTTTTTTTTTTTACTGAAAATCAACTTGTTAAAAAACATTGTTCTTTTTTAAATTTAAGTACATGGCATACTAGGAGATTGCCAATTAATAATATTATTGTTGTGTATTTGATGATTAAGTTACATTTAAAGGTTTTATGAATTGCCTCTAAAGTACTAAATAGTAAATAATAAATATCAAAGGGTCATATTTCCATCCTGTTATTTGGTATTATGCCAAATATTAACATTTAAGTTACAATCCTTTTAAAATGTCAGCTATAGCTGTTTTAATTCCAGAAAAGAACAAAACTATTTTGATTTAATACTAAGTGATTCTTATATTGAACAACTCATAATTTTCAAAATCTATTAACCTTTTAAACGTGTACAGGATAATTTTTTTTTGTTTAACTAACAATATTTTTGAAAACATTTTAATAATAAAAAAATTAAAGAAATATTTTATTTTTACTCTATAATAAAGTTTATTAATTACTACATACAAATTAGTTATTTTTTGAAGTATTTTTAATTGTATGATAATAACTAAAAGATAGCATAACTCATTAGAATATCGAAATTTATAAAATAATTTATACTTTATTTAAGATTGACTAAGGTAAATAACTAATCCGCACAAATTAAAATTTTGAAAACATCACCTAAACTTTAAATACTAACAAATTATAATTCATAACTTGTCCAGATTTCAATTTTTACAAATTGATATACTTAGAAAGATATTATGCTTTATGATACAAAATTGTATGTAAGTTTTCAAAAAGTAAAAAACTTAAGAATGCATAACAATAATAATATTTAAAAATATTATTTTGAAAAATTTTGACAGGAGCTCATATAAAAAAATATTTAGAAAATCATTCATAGATTTTGAAATAATGAGTATTATTTGATAAAAAAAAAAAAACCGTCATATTTGAACATTGTTTACATTTTAATGTCAACTTTTTAAGCACAAACAACTCAAAATATAATTAAAATGTTTAAATTTAGTCTTATTAAATTAATTATTATTCTATACTAATAAGTAGCACGCTTATAAGGAGCAAATGGTTTAATTTACCATTCTTTAATAAAAAATTAATCTACTAAAATTTGATAACAGCTAAATAAATAAATTAATAGAAATTTTATTTATATGTATGATGAATCAAATAGTAAATGCAAGAATAAATAAATATTAATTATTTTACTTATTTAAAGATGGTATTCAAATAAAATAAGTTATACCTATGTGTGGCCAAATGATTGCTAAATACATTTCTCATGGCTACAACATAATGTTCATCGCCATCAACAGTTAAGCGATACATTCCCAAATATTGAGGAAGAAGAGTTTTTCCATGTCTCTCAACTATATACTAAAAACAAAGTTTAAATTAATCATAATATAATTTATGCATTAATTACTTACAGGATGATAGTGTTTTAAAAATGAGTGCATTCTTTCAACTTCTTCACTTGTTAATGTTTTAATGATGAATAATTTGTCATATGAATAGTAAAAACCTGCGTTACTTTTGCCCGTGGTATCTGCTGAAACTGGTTGTGATCTAAAAACAAAAAAGAAATACAAAACAACTTATAAATTTGAATATATAGATTAATCCAGGTGTGTTATATCAGTTTTTAGTTGTTGGTGCCAAATTTTTGCAGGTCATTTTTCAATCATTACCAGGTCAAAATAAACTCAATATTGTTAAAGTTGATTGTTTAAAAACTAAGAATGCTGTTTATTATAATTTATTCTTTACAATAAATTACCATTATCAAATGTCTTATAGCCAATAGTCAATTGTTGGCCTGCAGTAAAAAATTATTTAAAATGTAAAAAAAAATGATAATAATAACTTTATATCAGATTCACGACACTTTAAAAATGCCACCTTCATTTATTTTTATTGGGCTAAAAAAGTTGTTTTACAAAAAAATAAGTGCAAATTTTCTCTAAACAACTGACGCACCTGGATTAGATCTTAAATTAAATAAATTTCATTGTTAAATAAACAGAAAAAGGTAATTAATATATTAAATTAGGTTAGGTATATATTAAAATATTTAACTAAAAAGATTAGTAATTATTTACTTATTAATCAAAGTAAACACAATAACACAAATAAATACTATGCCTGGTGAGTTGTGAGTAATATATTATACTGATATAGTAGATCAAAATATAAAGATGATTATTTTATCATACAAAATAAAACTATTGAAAATGTTAACTACTTTCAAAGAGTTTTCCTGAATTTCAATGAAATACAATTTAATATAATT